TCCTACTATTTAGGGTACTATAAAAACCCCCATATCTTTTGGGGACTTTCTTCAGGTGCTCTCGGCTACGCCTCCTGGAGCTCGACGGCTGCGGCATCAAGCTGGAGCCTACTTGGTTAACTTAGGGGAAAACGCCCAAAAGTCGTAGACGGTCAAGCAGTACCACGGAGCAGCGCGCGGCGTGCAGCTGTGCAGGAGGGCGCCAAGGCACTGCGAGAGCTGCTTAGGCCGGGTCCTTTCCTTCTGACGTTTCAGACCCGTTGAGACCTGAGACGTTGCTGAGCACCTCTCAGCAGGGAGCATATCCGAATCCAAGACATCTCTGTGGCCAACAACCAGCACGGATCTCGTCACGTACCATCTGAGATGGTAGCAAAAGCTCTGCGTCATGAGCTTTGCTGTGCCGCCCGAGGCTTGGAGACGATGGCGGTGTGGAAGTCTGCATGGGCGTGGCGGAATCCAATTCACTGAAGTCCGTCAACCTGGTGCGCCGTGGGAGGGCGGAAAGGAACAGAACAAAGAAAGAAGGAGTTGGCTAGCTGCACGCTTAATCGTCGATGACGGATCAGCCGTCTGCGCGAAGACTCCGACAATCCGGAGGCGCACAACGGTATCTTCAGCGACTCCGCGGCTGAGACAATTGCGGACATGATGAGGACGGTTGCAAGTACTGCTTGCTCTGTCTGGTCTGTCTTCTCCAAGCAGAATTAGTAGAATTTGCGCAACGGATTCTCAGGACATGCCAGACCCTCGTGAAGCTCGTGCTGTCCGGCAACCACTTGGACCACGTGGGCCCATCTCACATAGGCCCGAGGAATGCACGCAGCGTGCAAGTATCATGCACAGTTTTCTGTCTGGTAGGATGTACGCAATAGTTAGCATCCCGGGGTTGGCTGAGAGAAGCTTTTTCAGCTGAAGAGAAGCTCGCAGCAGAGGCAGTGCCATCGAACACAGCCGCGTGCTGACACTGCAACTCGAGGAGCTGTGAATCGAAGCCGCGGGGGTGCTCTAGATGGAGACCTTTGCTGACATGCACATTGGATTGTGTGACGCAGGATAGACTGCTTTAACTCGTCCCTGGCAAGTCTGCTTTGTTGTATTCACCGCCAACAGCAGCAGCATCATCCTCGCCACCATCAAGATGATGATGATGATGATGCTGATCTTCATCATCATCATCATCATCACACCCTAATCACCTACAGTGTTGCCATTCGTATATCTCGCCTTTTGGCCTCCCAACAACCTCGCATGCTTTCTCCCAGCATATGGTCACGCCAGGTGGAGATATCGAAATGCTACTGCCCGGCCAAAGCTTTCCCGGGCTTCGGGTGCAGGACATGGGTTTTACCGCTGACTCCATGGACGACTTCCTCGACCAGGGTGCCGCCGAGACTCAGGAGCCAGCCGTTGACCTGCTCAGGTTGTAAGTGCCGCGTTTCTTACTGCTGCGTTCGACCGCTTTTGCAGTTGCTACGAATACTGCTGCTGCGACGCTGCGACGCCGACGGGCGAAAAAGGATGACGACAATGCAACGACGGCAACTAGTCTCCTGCGCTGCTGTTGCTGCTGCACCTGCTGCTGCTGCTGCTGCTGCTCTGGCTGCTGCGGTCGCCCAAGCAGTGGCTGCTGCTGCTGCTGCCGCCGACAACGACTACCAACAACAACAACTACTACTGCTACTGCTACTGCTTCTTTTACTAATACTACCACAACTCCTCCTACTCCCAATGCTACTGGTGCTGGTACTGGTGCTAGTGCTAGTGCTAGTGCTAGTGCTAGTGCTAGTGCTGCTGCTGCTGCTGCTGCTGCTGCCACTAGTAGGTTACTCGGCCCACCCACCCCACGAACCAGACTTGGCCTAGACCTTCATAGTAGCACCTCCATTCTACAGGGCATCTGAGGCACTTCCCATTATGCTATCATCTTTGGTTTAGCAGTTTCTGCTCCGTCAAGTTTGTAGTTCCTAAGACGATCATTCGGTATGTACGGTGGTGTGCTGGGGGTTGGCGACATGGAGGTGGTATTGAACGACACTGCTGTGCTACTGCTGCGTCTTCAAACAACCTGCGATTCCTACCTTTTCAAGCGCTTGTGATACTTCCTGGTAGAATCTGCCGGAGGACTTGCAGGAGTTGGTGATCAATGGCAATCCGATTGGAGATGATGCTTGGCTTAAGACACTTCAGCAGTTTAGCCTTTGCCGTCATGCGAACCAAGGAGGGATTGGCCATCATAGCCGAGAGCCGTGCGCAGAGAGTGGGCATGCGCTTTGGTTTTCTCTTCCGGTGTGGCAGTAATGAAGTCTTCAACAGTTGTCTGCAGTGCGACTGCTTGTGCTTTTCTAGGGACAGGCAAAGAAGCTCAACCCAGCCCCTCAAGGCCTGAGCATCGGCTTGATCAACCTGCGGATGTCCAAGTGTGGGCTCACCAAAGCCTCGCAGGCTGCATCGGAAATCTGCAGAGATGTGTAGGGCTTTCCGAAGCCTGCTTCGGGGATAGCACACGCGTGAGGGGGATGCTTTCGGCCGGCATCGTGTCTTTTCTTGGCGCTCAGCAGGAGCAAGTCCGTAGATGCGCCGATGCACCCGGCAGGCAATGCTCTTGAGCCTCGTGTCCTTGTCCCCGAACCTACAGCGCGTGGGCCTCTGCCATGAAACATGCTTGGCAGTCGTGCTGGCACTCTTCTACTGGTTCTTCGACACGTCTTTTGCACACGGACCAGAAGCTAGCCGATAATCACATATGGAATCATCGTATGTTGGTCCATAGAATCCTTCATAAAATGTCGCGTGCAATGACCGGCAGAGGCTGTAGCGTGAGCTGACCAGTCTGCAGAAGGTCGCAGCTAGTCACTGTGACATGGTCGTTGAGGTCTGGACGTGTCGTACAACGACCTGGGGCCAGAGGGATGCGCCTCGCAAGCACCCGAAGCCTAAGAATCCAAGATCACACGGTCGACCTGCCAAGT